CTTTATAATTAATAATATTTGGATGTCTTAATCGTCGGTAGTTCTATTGTTAAATTTGCTTACGTTAACAAAATCAGGCAGGCAGTGAAAAACATAACGGTTTATTTCGTTCTTTACTTTTAACAATTCTTCTTCGTTGATCTCATCTTTTTTTTATCGTGAGTCTCTTCATCTTTTCTCACCTCATTCTCGGAAAGTGGATAATTCCTTAATGGATGACATGTATATAGGTAGATAATGTACATTTGTTCAATCTTTGCAAAAATGAAGTCAGCTGTGTTAAACCATGTATTTTAATAATATTATTTGCTCTTCATCACCGCCGACATTTTCGCTGTCCACCAGTAATTCTTAGTTTCTTAGTATAACAGTTGTATAGTCTTAGAGTTTATAGTCGCAAAGAGACAATTGTAAGGGTATTTAAGCTAAACGGAAATATGTATATGTTTAAATGTGTATACATATTGTATATTGTCATATCATTCCATGACGAGACTGTAAGTTTTGTAAATAAGGATCTGTAATTATGTATTAATTCGTAATTTACACAATTTTGTAGAAGCATTTTATGTAATAGACATGGTTTTGTGTCTTTGAACGTTCGCAGCTAACGTCGGAAGGAAGTGGATGATTTTATCCGAGGGTCTTTTTACGAAATCGAAAAATGTGAATAAAAAAGTAATTAACAAAGGCAGCACAATTATTTTAATCGTCAGAGTCGGATATATTATTAGTACGGATTCAAGCATGCACATTTTTTAATGACAACTAACTGGATGTAACTTAAATTTATTTCACGTTCTATTAATAATATTCTTAATTTCAATATTTTACACAGAATTTTTTGCATGCAAATATTATTATAAGTACGTAAATAATCCGATCGTTATTATGATTTATTAAAATGTGTCAGCCTTTGCAATTACTGATTATGTAACAAACATGCAATAATAATCCGTCAAGTGGCGTTTATCGCTCTCTAACAGTTGACGAGTAGGGTGACTTAAAAAAGTATTGTTAACGCTGCCACCGGAAGCAAATTGTATACGCATAATTTAAACAAAAAGAACAGTATTAAAAGGGGTTGATTAGAAAGAAACTGGGTAATGCCTGAGTCGATAAGGTTCCTATGCCAAAAAGGCAAAAAAGAAAAGAAAAGATGAATGATACGCGACCGTCATTAATATAACGATATTATTTATGGCAAGAAATTGTAGAAGTGCAAGAGATGTGCGTTAGGGAAAGATTGTAAATACGTACGACGGATGCACGTTGCAAGTGTTTTGTTATCGACTCAATAGATCAACTGTAAAAAAATTATTAATAATGCGATATTGTCGAGCGACTAAAATTTGATGAAACGGAAAAAACAAAACCGAATTTATCATCCAAGATGATGAATTAAGGTTTGTGTATTAATCAAAATATACAGATATTGAGTATAAAGTGTTGATGTACTGATATTAATAATACGTACACTTAAGAAGAATAATCGTAATAAGTTAAGCAACTTGATCGAGAAAGTGAGAGCGACATAGTAACATAAAATGTAAATAACACAAGACGTTTTTCTTTTCATGCTAAGCTGTTACTACGGTACCAAACGAGTTTAATATTAATTCTGTACCGAGTGTTTCTCAGGATAGTTGTTACACGGCTTGAACATTTCCTACACTGTATTAGTAGAAGAGATGGAAACAACAATACCATAATTACACTAACACACATTAATTATTTAATCGAATTTTTTAAGGCAGCTTATTTTTTATTAAAGGTATTACGTGTTTAGAGTGTAAAATACGATTTGAGTGAATATGTATGAATATTTATTTATTTTTGATAAATAATATAGGATTAAGTAAAATATTTTCTATAAGTACAGTGTGAAGTTTTCAAGCTATTTTTGTGAGAGCATTCTATATAAGTGATGTCATCGATACGTTGAAGGAATGCACTTGCGTTGTTCCTTGATTATCGGAATGATTCACCGAGCAATTGTTAAATGCGTGTACGATAATGCAGTACATCCTGTCTATCAATCTCTAAGTTTCTGTATTTGTCGCATTTTCCCGTTAATATCATCGCGTTTCTTGTTAGACAATATTTCGTTATCTCTTGTTCTATTCGTCGGTCATGTTTCATGTTTCATTAATAGAGTTGGGCATTCGAATAATTGTAAATTAAGCAACCCTTCGCCGCGTGGTACTCTCGTCCAGAAATTGATTTATGGTTTTTACCTGTTAGTCATTGCTCGAACAAAGTTTGCCCAACTGTGATCAATAGCATGTTTTTGTATCGTCTCATTGTCAGTAAATTCTTCTTATTTGTTCCGTTTTCACGCGACCAACTATCCTAATCACGCGTGAGTACGTCGCGCGAAACATATGTAGGTATGTAAGAGATAAGAGTACGAACTAACTTGTATATGTATATGTACATTTATATAGATCTACGTGAATAGAGATATATATATTATATTAAATATTATATACATATATTATGTATACACGATGAATGTATAATTTCTCGATTATACAGATCTGAACGTTATTTCCAAAATGTTCTATTTTATATATAATTATTACATTGCATTCAATGTAAGCGATATCTTCCAATGCCGGCGTTGCGTCATCGCGATTAGAAAATGTTTATAACATTGTGAGCTACCGCCGTTTATAAAATGTGAAGGAAAATGAGTAAATTGGAAAAAAAAGGTTGTGAAGCCCGGGATGCCGGTATTTCCTACAACAGATTCGCCAGCTTCGTGGTTTTATTTGTACTGTGGAGAGGAATATGCGGTTGTGCTGATACGAAAATTCATGAATTGTATTGAGGAAGCTTTAATAATAAACGTGTGTATAATTGGGTTTCACCCGCGAGTTTTCAATCGAAGAATTCATTTAATTTTCAAGGAGAACATCATTCTCTTAAATTGAATTCGGCGAAATGTTATGAACATCTGACAACGAAACAGGGTAAATAATTATGGAATAAAAAATGAAACACTACATGTTTTTTGATAATCCAGACAACAAAAAAAAGAATCTCCCTGTGAAGATCATTTTAAATTATAACTCGACAGAATCTTAATTAATTGTGTTACGATTATGCCCCGGCGTTGGCTCGTTACACCGGCGTTTTTGTTTTACTTGACATAAAATTTAATAGTCGTTGTGTAAAAAATATTGAATTCTATCTCTAACCTAACCTAACCTAACCTAACTGGAGTGCAAGCGTGAACTCCTGCAGGAAGTACATGTGGCCGTGGCATATGCAGGCATCGCAGGCATGTGACTGAATGTGACAGCGACCAGCGGTGCCCGATGCCGGAGGTGTCGGAGAGGAATGCGAGTCGGGTCGTCGTCGTCGGGTGGTTCCGGGTTCCGGTCCGGTACTCTATTATAGTATCCCATCGGTATTATCCTATAGTAAATTTGATTGTCACGTAGAGGGGGAACATACGTCACAGTACATACGTCATGACGTCGGTCATGTGACCAAGTTCTAATTACGTTAGAGACTTTAAATAACGTATTTGGCCTTTTTCTATTATTTTGAAATCATTGTTCGTGTCATATTCTATTCCGAGTACGTTTTATATCTTTGTGAACGAGTAGCTTTTGGTTGTTATATGAGTTTATTTGCTACGGGATAATATATACCGGACGTGGACCTGGCGTCCATGGTGGGAACGTTCCGTGAACCCCTCTAGCGTTTACGTAGTTTGTGACGAATCAGTTAAGAAAAAAGCAAGATTCGTTCTGACTTGACCGGAGCCGGAGCCGCAAAATAGTTGTCAAAATGGCGGGCGAAGGATCTGCAAGTGTGAATCCAAATTGCGAGGTCGTCCGCGGACAAGCGTTCGAAGTTGGTCCGCGATATACAAATTTGTCTTACATGGGTGAGGGTGCCTACGGAATGGTCGTGTAAGTGTCTTTGAGTCAATTACTCTTGTAACTGCCGAGAACTTACGACTGCTTATCGACTGGCTGACAGGCCGAAAGATAAACAATCGGAAACCTGATGATTTGTTGAATCAATGATTTCATGGCGAAACTCCTGTTCTGCAACGCACAGGAAAAGATTTTCGCTAACATCTCGAGACCGTGTGCAGCCGCTTCTAAGTACTATTCATCGTTATGTATCATCGCCTTTTGGCGCCAGTTTTAAAAGCATTTGTCACACCCTTTCAAAGACCTGTTCATTTGCGTGTTACCGCTTCCTCGCTTATCTCTCGCATATAAATCTTACCATGACTCCGTGAACACGACAGCGATTGCATTTCACGAACACCTTCGCTAGGATGACGAATTTTCGCGGCGTAAAATATTACGAATCTTCGTTGTTGCAAATCTTTCCCACGCCTCATTCGAATAGTTCGAATTATGTTTTCAACTGTAATTGTTTCTTTATGCTATTTTGTTTAAAGTTTTGTTCTTTTTCCTGTTTTCTGTATTTTTTCTTTTCGATATTACGTACATGCAATTTGAAGTTTTGGTAATATGAAAATTGCGCTTGACCATATGCTTAATTTGAAATCAATAAAAATAGCTTTATGATATGGAAGAATCATTTCCCGTCTCGAGGTTTTAGATTAAATATCTCAAAGATAAGATAAATTAATAATTTTTTTTGTTTTTGTATATAGGTAATATATAACAACAGAGAAAAGAGAGATTTAAACAAAACATTTCGAAATTTCTCTTTACAGATCTGCATATGATAATGTAACAAAGACGAAGGTAGCTATTAAAAAAATTTCACCATTTGAACATCAGACGTATAGTCAGAGAACATTAAGAGAAATAAAAATTCTGACTAGGTTTAAGCACGAAAATGTGAGTACTCTGTTATTAACTGACATGGTACATTAAGCATTTGAAATACACTGACCATACACAGTTTTGTTTTTGTAGATAATAGATATAAGGGATATACTAAGGGCACCTACCATAGAACAAATGAAAGATGTATATATTGTGCAATGTCTAATGGAAACTGATCTCTATAAACTTCTGAAAACACAGGTCGGCATTTAATAATAATTTGAGATTACTTATTTAAATTGTTAGCATACTTAAATTTCTGCCTTCTGTTTCAGGCTATTAGCAATGACCACATATGCTATTTTCTTTACCAAATATTAAGAGGATTGAAGTATATTCACTCCGCAAATGTATTGCACAGAGACTTGAAACCGAGTAATTTGTTGTTAAATACCACGTGTGACCTTAAAATCTGTGATTTTGGTTTAGCCAGAGTCGCCGATCCGGAGCATAATCATGCTGGTTTTCTTACCGAATACGTAGCAACAAGGTGGTATAGGGCTCCAGAAATAATGCTCAATTCAAAGGTAAATAATAACTCATTGACGCACAGTTTCAGTTTAAATGAAATGTAACTATATCTTATTATTCTCGCAGGGTTATACTAAATCTATAGACATTTGGTCAGTTGGGTGCATTCTTGCAGAAATGCTTTCAAGAAGAGCAATATTCCCTGGGAAACACTATTTAGACCAACTGAATCATATATTAGGTATTCTTGGATCGCCGTCTCCTGAAGATCTTGAATGCATTGTAAACGAAAAGGTACTTAATCTTCTTCTATACATGTGATACATTTCCCTCTACTCAATACCGACTTCTCTCAATGATCGTGCAACGATATTTTAGGCACGGAATTACCTTAAATCATTAGCATTTAAACCAAAGGTCCCATGGACAACCGTTTTTCCGGACGCCGATCCGCGAGCGTTGGATCTTTTAGATAAAATGTTAACATTCAATCCACACAGACGGATCGTTGTAGAAGACGCACTCGCGCATCCATATTTGGAGCAATATTATGATCCTGCTGATGAGGTAGATACATATTATCCATGAGCAGTCAATTTAATTATCGTAGACACAATTCTATAAAGTGCTCAAACTTCTAGCCAGTCGCAGAGGAACCGTTCAGGTTCGATATGGAATTGGATGATCTTCCCAAAGAAGTATTGAAACAGTATATCTTCGAGGAGACTATATTATTCCAGGAGAATCATCAAGAAAATTCTATGTAGTCTACTGATAACTCTTCAATTATTTTTCACCGTATAAGAAACGAGGTACACGATATTTTAAAACGATCGATAAACACTTTAGCTGCGGCGAGTGTTCAGGGCGACCAAAAAGAAAGCAAACGTGTGACGTCAGAATAACAGAGCTGTACTTCTTTTATAGTTGTATACGATCCAAACAGGAAAATAGAGCAACAAAAAAAGAAAAACAAAAAAGATGTAACTTTCGCGGAGATGTTTAATTTATAGGAAGTGCTTAAAAAATCGACAGCTACGAATACGACATAATATATACATTTCATTACATATTATATGCATATGCGGGTAGGGAGTTTGAGAGGAGAGACGGATGGAAGGAACGTACAGTGAACGAGGTGAGAACAAAAAACGCAGTGTCCGTGCATATACTTGTACATTCAACATGTCTTTACCGGAGAGAGAAAAAAAGAAAAAGGAAACAACAAAAAATGACAGTGGTTTTTCTTTTTAGTAACAATTGAATGCATAATATTAATTTGTACAATAACTTTTATTTATCCCGAATTATACAGGGTGGTCCACGGAACTTCTAAAGTGTATATTGTGTGAAAAAATATTTTAGACCTTTTTCAAGGAACGAAGTAAATTATTCGTTGATTATTAGGTTTTTTTACAGCTAATGAAGATCAGTACCTTTTACTCAGAATTTAACGCTCATCGATTTTTTGGCATTGAAAGCAGCATTCCATGTGAAAAAAAACCAAGTTGACCTTGAAATTTCTGAAATACATCGAGCTATAAAAAAAGTATGCGCCATATAATGTACCCCTCTAAAACAACTTTTTTATAAAAACATTTTTTCATGTAGTGGACACTTCAGAACTTATTCAGGGTGAATAAGTTGTGTGGACCACCCTGTATATGACGCTAGTTGACGATTATTATTGTTAACCATTGTATTCATACACACATTGTCTGTGATTTAATTGCCGAGCGAGTGACGTGGTGTAATGTGCGAGATATTCTAAGCCACGTAACACACGACGACCGACAAAGTAAATGCGCGTGAGTAGAAGAGAATGTCAGTGATAAAGTGTGTGCGTAAGAGAGCCAGAGTATGTATGACATATATGTATGTATATAATACATACATATGTGTATACGTGGGTATCAGTGTATTATGAACAGCCATTTAATTCACCGAAGTATTTGCCGATAGTTTCTTTATTATTATTATTATTATTATTATTATTATTATTATTATTATTAATACTATTATTATTATTATTAATACTATTCTACATTAATATTATATAAATATTATTATTAATTATTATCTAATTTTAATATTCAGTGTCATTCTTGTGGTAATTACGTACCTTGCAGAAATTTCGTTCTGCCTTTATTTGGTTTAGGTTGTCGACGAAACGAAACAGGGGGAATGAACGAGTGAAATAGATAAAAAACGAACCGAATGGACGTACGCATGAAAAAAGAATTAGGTGAGAATGTCTGCGTGAATGAGGAGAGGTGCATGTGTGAAAGAAATAGAGAGACACAAGAAAAATGTGTTTAAGTCATAATTCATTGCATTCGATGCAGCTTCCAGTTCTTCTAAAAGCAGTTATGTTAATTGCGTCTTGTTTCAAGAGCTACAGGTATTACACTGATACTGCCATTCTTGTGCGACGAAGCACATGGTGTCTGTTCGGACGTTAACTATCTGTGTACTTTTCTATTTTCTACATTTCCGACCTTTTTACATGTTAGGATGTATTATCTTCCTTTTTTGTTTTCTTCTTCGTTTCTAATTCCTATAGCTAACTATTCGATATCTGGAGAACGCTTGCTTGCCATTTGCAAAATATCGTGTCTTCTTTAGTTCTCGGTTTCTTTGAAGATGATTCGGATATTCAAATACTCGCCATGTGAGTTTACGAACGATGATAAACTATTGGAACTTTCTCATTTCGATTCGCATTACATTTTTTCGCTCTAAATGTAAGTTCGTACTCGAAAGAACTTTTAATATTTGATAGGATATGATACATCTAATTGATATACATTTCGCTCGAAGAGAAAAGCATGGCACGGTGGATAAATTAACTATGAAAATGGAGTTTTGTACACGTGCATGTCGTCGGTAGTCAAAGGCAAAATTTTATTCGACTGTGAAAACTAAACTGCGGGTATCCGCGCATTCATGGAAAATTTAATATTTAGAAAATAAATTTCCTTTCTATTTATCTTTCATTCTCTTAGTTGTACAAAAAGTTTCGTAGTTCTGTAAAAATGGGATTCACGTAACATATGGTTTAATGATACGTGAGAACTCGAGCAATACCGATAAGACACGTTTCCATTTTTCTTTCCGTTCTTTTCTAAAACTCTAGTTGAAAAGATAGAAAGTATTTATCAGGACAATCGAAGTCGCGGACACGTTTATTGAAATAACGAAGTGCATACTTATCTCGTTTTCTGAATCAAAATCTCGATGTATCAATGAAGCAAAATCATTAACAAACGCATGAAAGAAGGAATGCGAGTCAGGAGAAGAAAGGAAAGAGAAGCGGCAGAGGAATTAATTTAGCGAAACGACTAGAATCGGCACGAAACTCACTTTCACTTCCGACTGTCAAATTTCACGTTTTTGAATGCGTCGAATTAAGTAATTCTATATTAATAACGTTAACACCTCATACATATAATAATTCGTTCGAGGAAGAAAAACATCGGCGTGTTCATCTTCATTCGAGTTCGCAAGTTATCCATGGAGATTATGAAGATGCTTCGATTCGTACGTTCTTCTCGCGATTTAAATTTTTTGAAAAGAAAAGGAAAAGGGAGGATAAATGTTTCACGCCCTAGGAGTGTCCTTTTCCATTTCTCAAGCTCTGCGAACTTCTTGAAGGATTTATCGGATTATCGATTCAGCTTTGTTGCTGCTTACGTACGAAATCGTATTGAAAATAATAATCCGCTAGGGAAAATGAATTTTTTGCGATCATAAAAATGAAATTCTTTCATTCTATTTTTAACACTCGGCTCAATCACATCCGATTTTCAAATTCCACGATCTCGGGGCTGTGACTATACATCATTAACGTGGTTAGAACATTTAAACGGTGATTTTATTTGAGAGAATTAGCGATGGACCGAAGTAAAAGTTGCTTTTTGTACTGGAAAAATGAACTCCGCGTGTCTTTTTTATAGCACATGCGAGAAACATTGAACAGGACACTCGCTCTCGTTGATATTTAAATATGTATCTGTGTCGTTCTTATTAAATCCTTGATGTTAAATGTTTCAATTCGTGCTCGTTACATATACGACGAAATTTCTTTCACCATTTCTTTTTTCTATGTTTCTTGGTTCAGAGATACAGATTTACCAAAATATATGCGTATCATGTATACCGAGCACGAATTCATTAATGAACCATGGGAAGAAAGATTACCAAAGTTTTATCGGTTTAATCACTTGCCTTATGATGTCAAGTTATTATAATAGAAAAAATGATAGAATTTCATCTAAAAACCTTAGTGTTAAACCTCCGATTTAATAATCAACTTTCTGAAGCAAGACAAAAGTAGCAGGAAAGATAAAAGGCAAGCGGTTAAAGCGTCATTTCTTCTTCTTCAGAGCTTGATTAAATAAGAATCCTTCAAGCGTTCCAGATGAAGCTGAATTTATGAATGATCTGACATTCTACGTGTCTGAATATTTTCTGTATGTATCAATTGCTACGTGTCCAAGTTTCGCGACTATAATCTCTGTGTGTATTTAAAACATTAAATCGGAAAGACTCACGAAAATAGCTTAACGAAACGTTGAACGATATAGCGCATCACAAGATATTTATTAACTAAATTTTCACAAGTTGCCTCTCGAGAGATTACGAGGGAACATTGGCGAAGCATGTCAGCGAGAAGATATCGGTGTTCCAAACTCTTTTTTATCGGCCTGCGAGAGAAAATCGCGAGCCGTAAGTCATCGGCTTTTATAAAATCTCCGGTGTTAACACGCTTGGCTCGTGTAAAATGAAATTAATGAACCATTAGTTTTCTTTATGATAGAAAAAAGGAAAAACAAGAATCAATTAGTTTGCCTTTAAACGATTTTCCTTACCAGGGCTGTTTTCATCCCTTCAAAGTGAAGATCGGTGTAAAAAATACGTGATAAATTATTTTTCTTGCGTGCGTCACACAAAATCGATGATTTACGCTCGACGATCTCCCCTCGTCGGAGATACACAAAGAGATTAGGGATTAAAAGAAGAGAAAAACGAAAACGTTGACTTGTAAGTTTTCCAATTTATCATATAACGCTATTAGAGTTAATCTAGGAATCGAGCGAGAATCTTTAAATCTCTCTTTGTTCGTTTGTAAATGTAAGAAGTAAAAACATGAAAAGGACGAGTTCAGTATCAAATATCAAAGTATTAAAGAAAAGAGAAAAATATATATATTAACGAAAGTTGTGATGCATTTATGTGAATTCCATTAAAATAATTTCGAGTTTGTGTCTATTCTCTTCTTGGTATATGAAAATGTTTAACACGTTCCGTGCCATGTGTACCATTTATGCACATTAAACTTGGCCTTCGGGCCACGTGTACCATAAATGGTACATGCAGAAATTTTTATTTAATGTGCTGAAACATCAAATGGCCTGAACGAGAAGTCGGGAAAAAACGGCTTGGCACGGAATGTGTTAATTAATAAAATCAATTGAATATACACGTGGGAGACAACTGATCATTCGCTGTGATCGTGTGCTGAAGTTATCTTGTCCTAACGTAAGAAACGTACAAATTTCGCAAACTGAAACAAATTAGATAAGATCTTCCATCAAACGTAAACTCGTTATATTAAGAGGTCTACGAAGACCTGTTAACATAATTGCGAAAACATTGAAAAGATAAATAAGAAAATGGACAAAAGAATAGTAGAAGCAGAAATAGATAACACTGGAACACCATTATCACGAAGAAAATGAGGCACAAGATGCAACGATAGATTATAGCGTTTAATATATTATACATTGATAGAACTTATTATCAATATCATCAGGCCTAATATACTTAAACGTTGAGTGTATTTGTTGTTGTTGCCGATTCATATCTTATATATCCGAATGTATTAAATGAATATTTCGTCTATAAATTTTAAATGTTATACGTCATTTACGAGAAAACGAAACCAGTTAAAAAAATAAAAAAAAAGATACAAAAGAGGATGCGATAAGAGGCGAAGAAAAATGAAAATGCCGGTTACCGGTTAGCTCGAGAAACGGAGAAGAGCATTACAATTAGAGGAGATAGGTCACCAGTTTTTACATAGAATAGAAGAAGACGTTCTTCAATATCATGCACGATTGTCTTTTAGCAAACGAGACTGATTTTTTGATTATGTAGCAAACGGATGTAGTTTTAATAGATTAGCTCCTCGAATTAGTACAGTTTATAAAAAATACGAAAGTGCAAATAGAACGTTAGGGAAAGTCGAGCTGTAGTTAGTATAGCAATTAATTAATGATTTTCAAATACACATGTAAGTATTTACTATCGCGTGCGAAATGTTATCAAAAATAACAGATCTCGTTTGCTAATGCATTAAATTTACCTCGTGCCTCCGGCTGCATTCATAGAATCCATCATCTCAACGTTCACAATATGCTTTGTTAATATTCTACAATAATTAATTGACAATTTTAAATCTTCATATATTTTCTTTTTTTACTGTTTATTAAATTTTTGTTCAATATAATAAATAAGTAAAAAATGTGAAACTGCATAGATCATTGAAATAACGTTTGTAGAAACCTATGAATGCAGCTATAAGAATATTCCGATAATTCACCACGTTCTTGGAAACGATAAATCTCTTTCTTTGTTTTTTCCTGTTTTTCTTTTTTACTTCAGCCGAATATATTTCTCCGAATAACTGTTAATCGAGCAAATGATAAATATGTATATCGTATGTATTTAACGAAATCAATTATCAATTATTGTATTTTAAAATGACTATTCGAAATATTATTGTGCTAATATAAAAATGGTTTTATTGGTCAATTATCCGGAATCGACGTTACAATTCTCATCTTATCCATTTTTATTCTCGACTAAGAGGATATCGTGTAGTTAATTTTTTTCTTTCAGTCATTCTGTTTCTGCGAAAGATATTACATGTACAAATTTAAGTCGTTACATTAGAATCAAAGAAATGCAATCAAAATTTCCGTTTTTTTCTTGCTATCCCGTGCATATACTTTTAAAAATCACAGACCTCGAGACGTTTGTTTCGCAATATATGTTAAGGAGAATATATTTTAAATGCTCTGCGTGTACACGGTAATTAATATTGTACAATTTTATTTTTATTTACAACCGTGTCCAGTATTTTTCATATTTTTTTACTTATATAATCATTGTAGTTTAAATAGAAAGAAATCGTGGTACAAACTGTCATGATTGAAAAACTATGTATGCAATATCATTTCGATGTACGATCGGGTTAAATATTCGTTTGCAGAATTTTTTATCGTAGGATTAAGTATAAAGTTATTTTTCTTTATTTTTATAATGTATCCGAAAATATTCTTCTTTCCGAATTTTTGTTATCACGAAATGGGCAAGTTATTAATCTAAATTCCACAAACGAATACTTAAAAATTACATTCTCTCGCCGTAAGTATCCAAAGTTTCGGAAGCACTCATTACTAGTCTACTACTGATTGATAAAAATAAAAATTAAAATAATATTATTGTATCCATACAATATGGGAAGATTCTGTACCTACAAAAGGTTTTGTTTTCCCAGTGGGAATCCTTGGAGGAAAAAAAGAAGTTTGATTCCCAAACTTCAGACACTTTAATTACTTGGCAGTGCAAGATTATTCTGAATCGTTCATAAATTAACGAAAATCCATTATACGCCTTTCTGATAACGTAATCGCTCTACAAATACAACTTTGTACAATTTCAAGATCCCATTATACACAATACATCTATTTTATACAAATTATAAAATGTATAACAATTATAAAGTTATTTATAAAAATTAAATGAACCCTTAACCAAGAGATTTAAAGTAATGAGTGCATTCTCTATCCCTTTCATACACCAGATATAAAGTTTGCACCATGCTTTTCCGCTGAAGGTAAAACATCATAATCACGTTTTACATATTTACGACAATTGGTTCAACTAATTGACAAATTATTCTGTTTCACTTCCCTCTATGAACTTGTCGTTACTCACTTCTATCCTCAAAGGAGAACGGTCTCTAGTGTGATTACCAATCCGAGATCGTAAGTCACCGCCTTTTAGCGTGCTCCTCAAATCTCGTATTTTTGGTTGCCTGCGAACATATTTAAAAATTGTTATAAATTAATATAATGTTATAAATACACATCGATATCAGTTCTATCCAGTCTGTCCAATCCGTTACCTGGTTCTGACAAAGTTATCGCTATCTTCGTTTTTTACATTGTTCAGTCTAGCCCAAACAGTGGAGGCGACACGAGGCTTATGTTGAACCACTTTTATCACACTGCCCTTAGGACCTTGCACTTCTTTTGCCGGTTTGTCGCTATCCACATCGCTGTAGTCTTCATCCTCTTCTTCTTTTTCTTCTTCGTCGGATCTTTGCCATTCACCCTCTTCCTTTTCTTGCCCTTCACTTTCTACTATTTCACCATCTTCTTCCTGCACAACAAAAATATAATATGTCGAGATTCTGAACTTTTACAACTAAACAGAAATTATCGATAATGTTGTAACAGTACCTCTGAATCGTGAAGCTTAAACGTATCTGACTTTACTACGTTCGTATTTGTTACAACCACTTGGATTGCATCGTGAAACTGCGTTTCTTTCTTGGGCTTGCCAAGTCTTGATCGTAAATCATTACCTCTATTTAAATTATTCAATACCGTCTGCGAACATTAAAACGATTACATAAATCCTGTCATCATAAAAGATACTATGTTCATTTGATGATCAATTTTACTCACTTGTTGCCGAAGCTTTGCTCGGCGTTTATGTATTTTTTCCTCTTCGTCGTCCGCATGCATTCGCATTCGTAACACTTTATTCCTTTTGCGCCATTCGTCCTCGCTGTCACTATCGCTCGTGTTACCATGCTGTTCCTCAGCTTGTTGCTTTACTTCTTTCTGAGGTTGCCTCACGCCCAACCTCTCTTTTACGCTACGCGTTGTTTCAGTTTTAATGGCAAACTCATTCTCCATGGCATCGTTAAGGCCCCAACTTTCTGATAACGCGCCCCATGGATTCTTTATACGTTTTCGGTCTTCAACATCATCCTGTGGCTCCTCTTTAAGTTTTCTCTTGCTCTGTTTAATTTGTTTATATAGTCGTTTCCGCGATTCGGTCAATAATCCTTTGATACCACCAAAATTGGGATTCCCGTATTTCTTATAATATTCGCTCATCTTTTCTGCATTTGGCTGCTTCTTATCAGCTCTAGTAGCGAAACGGAGAAATATCGCTTTAGATTTAGGAGAATCAATGCCCTTCCTCCATAAACCAGGAGGCAAAGGGCAGTTAATGTCCTTGATGCTTATGTAATCTCCTTCTGTGTCTTTTGTGGTATCATTATCATCGGTTACTTCGTTAGTAGGATCATCGTTAGTTATATTGTTTTCCTGATCTGGGTTACTATCTCTTATAGTTTTTTGCTTTTCTAAGCCCACAATTTTTTTTGATAATCCCAACATGGCTCTGGCTGCAGATACATTTTCTAACCATACAACATTGCCTGCAATGCATTATTTCTTAGTAAACAACGAATCATAAAGTATATCAGAGAATAGACTTAAAATCATCATACATGAAATATCATTAATCCATTCAATTGAGGCTGGTGCATAGTCCTCAAAATATTTGAAGACGTCTTTAGTACTCATTTCTTCTGTCCCTCTCATGTGTATCACATTTAGTCTAATATTTTTTGTAATTTCATTATCTTCTCCAATGCCCATACTAAAAATTAAGACAACCTATGTTATACATCAAAATTATCGAATAACTATACGCCACGTGTCATGTTGATACATGATAATTATTACCTAGAGTATAAGTCTTGTTCTTGATTGGACAAATTATTTTTCAGCTTGTCTGTAAGCCCAAAACGTTTGGCTCTCTCTTCCATCTTCAACTTTTCCTCTTTACTAAATATGTCTATACCTGTCGTAAACGTACCCCCACGATTTTCATAACGGCTTTCTAACTGTACCTGTTTATGTAATTTATCAACAAATAAATAAGTAAAACTTGCACATGAATATAACATAAATTGATTGCATTTATCATTTCCTTACCTCTGGCATTTGCACGTTGTTAAAGTTAAATGTTTTTGTGATAGTTTGGCCGGAATCAATATCCTTTGTGTCATTCGTAACCGGGACCATTTCCACATCCATGGGTTCACCAAATTCATCCATTGTAAATAATTAATAGTATTCTCTCTCACAATGTTTGAAAAAATTTAAGCAGGCACGTGAATATGAATGATCAGAGATTCTATTTTCGATTCAAAACGCAAACAAGAAGCAACGCAATAGGTTATGATACACAGCTTCATAAATATCGAGGTTACGTATTCCACGCTCAGGAATGCCAGACTATAGGATCAGGGATGGAATAATGTTTCCCTCGGCCGGAAAGTGGGGACGACGCGACCATGGTGGGGACTGGTACTTGACGGGGGTATGCTAGGCAAGTCAGCGAAGGCACATGAGGAGAATAGTAGTGGGGATCGAAATACGGGCGAAAAAGAGGGGAAGCGAGCCGTGCGGGAAAAATTATCCCATCCCTGTGTAGGATTTCTCCAGATTTCTCCTCTTCCCGAGCTCTCCCTACTACTGTATGCTCAGTGTGCTCTCCCCATTTACGTCTACTCCTGGACATGCGCCTACCGGCCTGCCGGATCACGTGTCCGTGTTGTTTGCTGCCGGCGAATTGTGCGATGCGCGAATCGAATCGTGCAGTATGTTTGTTGGGAATAGAGTCAGGTAAAATATGACACGGTCCCAGTCATTCGGGTTAATAGGACTTAGAGGATTTAAACAAGGATTAAAACGGTCGAAAATTACTTGGGTTCAGACCCAAGAAGCTTATAGGATTATTTCATTTTTTGAGGGATCGATAACAGGCCGGGTCATAAAACAACTAAAATTTCGCACAGGGCTACAGCTTAGTTTTTTCCATTTCCACGAACCGTGAAAATGTGTCCCAATGTATCCTTTAGTTTCTGAATGTATTGTTGGACCGTACTGAGTTCAGAATGAGAAAGAGTGAAAGGCAAATCATCTGAGTCAGCAATGTGCAAGTCGTCGTCCATCGTCGACGTCGTCGTCGTCGTTGTCGTTTGTTCCATTACACCAATATCCACCAAGTCCTCTACGAGTTTATTTGCGTACTGTTGCAGCACAGAAATAAAATGCAAAACTACAGAAAGGAAAATTGTCAGGAAAATTGAAAAGTGAAATTTTCACTGTGCAATCTTCGTATCGCATTGGCCCCTGTCTCCTCTCCACTTTTGAATTTGCAAACGAAAACCGATGGAAATACACTCGGATCCGTAAAAAGGCATGAGGTACGAATAATCTCGTGACTCACTCTTTGTACAATACGAGTCATAAACATCAGGTCGAAGAATAGTTCATGGGACTGATTTGCCCATCGAAAATCGAAAGCTATTTAGTATTAAGGGTACTAAGGCTACGTGCCCCATTACTTTTATTACTTGCGTCCGCACAGAATTCCGTTTAATGTTGACAGCCTGCACAAATCCTAGTCGTTGTACAACGTCTTATCCCTTGTTTTATGAGGCCAAGTGATTTGTTCACGAGCTATCACACCTTTTTGTCAGGGCAATAGTAGCAGCAAAGCTTTCTTTGAAATTGTTAACAGGAATACGAAGTTTTCTTGTGATCAGCCGTGTTTCATAAAATGCAAAATCCGCATTCTTCATTACTTTCTCCCAAAATTCCCGAATGTTCGGCCTACGTGCGTACAACGCCAGCATTCTCGCGAAAAATGAATAAAATCTGGATTCAGCAATTACATCTTGTCATTGACCGCGAAAATGGTGGCATCGTCCGAAAGGTAAACGCTCGCCCTTAAAATTAAGGAGCTGCTACCTGCGTGTGAAATCAGTACTTTATAAGATATAGAGCAAAACGTGAAAAGAAACACGAAAATTCCACTTTAATTGTTTATTGTTAACTTAGCGTACAAAACTCGTGGTTTCCATTGTTATATTATCATTCTACATACTTATTTGAACCATTACAATTGGAAAATTGCTATATTTTAATTTTTGCAAAAATCAGGTCTTTAGAAGCTAATATGACTAGCCTATTTGTGTTTGACTTGGCTATTTGGCTTGGCGTCGTGGCGTCGTATCTTCGCGCCACAAAGGAAGCCTTCCCCTGCCATCGAGCCTCAACGTTCTTTGTGTAAGGCGCATGATTATGGGTAACGTAAGTGGGGGCAAGAAAAAGTAGTGGGGGACAGCTCTGGAAGAGGAGAAATCCTACATTCTGGCATCCCCTGTCCATGCTACAGTTTCCGAAGGTCCTGATGTCGCAACGATTGCAGCGTTAGTTAGGATTAGGGGAGATATGCTAAAATATGCTTCTCCTTCTGCCGTTCTGCTTCTGCCACCAATTTTCAGTCATTGTTCACGTGTTCACGTTGCAGATCACGTATTTCTACGAATTTCCAATATGAAAATGAAATTTTCATCAATACTGATTATGGCTGATTTATACATTTTTACAATAAACGTGATATGATCATTTATTTATTGTTCCTTGCCCCACTATTTTCAATATATCGGTATAAATAAAATTATATTATTTATATACAATTTAATGTTTATTTAAAATGATTTACAATATATAGAACAGATTCAGAATTGAATGAAATGAAAGCAAAAATTATCCGTATCCGTGACTCTGTTAACAATGTATCGTATTGCGATTCCATCTTTACACGTGTACCCTTTTTTAAAATTCATCGATGGGACATCATGGATTCAAAACCTTTCACTTAGTATCATGGCTTTCGAAAAACTGCATTTTAATGCAGAATAGTATATTTAAACATATTAATGTTCAGCATTGAGTTAGAATTAAACAAAATTCTGATCACCGGACGATCGAGCACAGACAGCAACGTTCTATGTAATATATTACTAAACATATAAGTCTTAAGTAATATGTATTATTTTTATCAATGCGCACTAACAAGAAATTCCTTGGCAGTTAATTGACACGCGTGTCTGTGAACGATTTAATTTTACAGCGAATATAAATCACAAATTAATTAAATACAAGTACTACGTCGTTCGTGATTTGATTTGGTCAAAAATTCTAACACTTGTATTTCAACAATCTAATTTATAATAGAGATTATTTGTTTGTATAATAAAGGAGCGAGAATAAAGAAACATTAATGATTCATATTAGCCAATTTCGGAATATGCAAGTAAATCACATTGTTCCTACAATCTATACAAATCTCATAAAATCGTTTTTAAAATTTGCACAGTGGAATTCTAATACGTTGTGAATAAATTTTCTCTAAGAACGCCACCGTTTCCACTTTTTTTCAGCCGCGTCCCGAGCGCGTTCTTTATTGGTTTTATTGTAGCCAGTTAGGCTAGCGACTATCCAACAGTCGCCTTCTCAGATCATCGAAGTTGGAAACGAATTCGAGACTGGCGAGAGTCTCTGCTTCTAAGCAGGCTTTTAGTGATAAATTAAGGTGCGATCGCGTCTATTGTCACAGTTCGTCGTTAACGTCGGTTTAAGGTACTTCTTCTCCCGGTTCGGTTAAAACTGAATGGTTCGGCTTTTGTTCTTCTTTTCGTGATTCCTGGGGAATCCTTTGATACTTTTCGCGACGCTCGACCACCGCATGCGGTGGCGATCTGTTTTATGAATTTATATTTTAATTTGTGATCGGAATCGGTTCAAAATGCGGAATGAAAACGGGATGCAGATGACCGAAGTGGTAAGTGACTTTCTGATATATCGTCATACAAAGAACATTTTCATCATCTCATTGTCTTCTTTTTAAGTGGTTCTCTGTTTTTTGTACCTAATATAATCTTTTGTGCTCTTCAATTTAGTCA